TATGCTATTTAAAAAATATTTCCCCAGCGATTCAAATGCCCAGTGGGAGCTTCCTGAACCCTTGTTTTCTCCACAAACGGCTCTCTTAAATAACAGTATAAGAGAGGCTAAAGGCAGCTCTCTGTTTTCGGTTTATTCAGTGGGAATTTAATTAAATGGGTCCATATACGAATTTGCTGAATTCCGTTTAGCATCACTGAGATTATCATTTCCATGCGGCAGGTTGCCTAAGTGGAGATAATAACGACATGAGCAGGGACAAATAGTGCTGTCTCTGAACAGATCAGAATTAATTGGCATATTTTTTGGTCATGACAATAACAAAAATAGCCATTAAACAAGCTCCTATTTCTCATGCTTAGAACCCAGTGGGAAAACCATGTTTTCTGCGTTCCACTGCGCCAGATTCTCCTATTGTTACACCGAGCCCAGGAGTGGGCAGCCAGATCGCGTTCTCCGGGAACCGGGACTGTTCATTCTCCGCGTCCAGCTTTTTTAGACACTGGAGATGCGGAACTCAAAGCCAGGGCTATCTGATGCGAAGGGCTATCTCGATCCACTGGGCACACAGGAGAGTTAGTGGCCTTTTGTATAAATAACATCGCCCTCAGCACACAGCTGTCTGCTCAGAACTTCCATTTAGTGTGGTTCTTATGGCAATTTTAGTGGACAAATTAATTAATTGCTTCTTTTCTCCTCACCCCACCGGTCAACGGTAACACTTTCTTCTTAGAAGTGCTCGCTTGGGGGAGTAGCAATAAGTCTCTGCTTCAGGGGCCCTATCCTGCATGCCTTATGAACTGAGAACTCAGGGAGTGGATTCTGCCACGTCGGTGTAAATTCGGATTTACATTTGTTTAGCTCCGAATTCATACCGTTGTAACCGAGCGCTGAATTTGGTCCCCATTAGCGGTTTAGGATGGAAGAGCGTAAAGAATGGATGAGGGGGGCCCAAAATGTGCTCGGTGTAAAAAGTAAGTGCTAAAAGAGCTACAAAGGTGGGAGAATGCTATTTCGTAGCGACTGATACATACAGGTTCCCCCTTTGACAGGGACATGCATTTGACTAAGGAAAATGTATATTGTGGTACTTAAACTATAACACTGTACATTTCACGTAGGAAAATATTAATAGCTCCAAGAAATAGTTTTCTTTCTTTCTTTTATCGACTGTTATGTATTTACAAATTACAATAGCTGCTTAAAGCCACACAAGGAAATATGCTATCTCAGCTTCACTGACTTTCCAAGGATCAGCAAGTGATATTTAAAAAAAAATAGTAAAAAAAATCACGCACTAGTATCTGAGCATGCCTGTTACCTGTTTTGATTGCATATTTTAGAGTTGTTCTGCAGTTCAACAAAATTTCTTCCAAGGTCTGTGGTTGGTCTGCCAGTTCCCAGTTATATTCCTGAAGAAGCTCATTTGGATAATGGAAATCGATAACCTTTGTTGATCTATCAAAACTTTTCACCACATACTGAAGCAAAATATCCATAACATCTTGTAGGAAAGACAGAGTTGTTATTTCCCCATTGCACGCTGGCAGAAGATCTGGGGGGGGGGGGGGGGAAATACATGAAATGTTAGCTCCAGTTTATTGTTTAATGTATAGATTTTTGACACAATCTCGCCCGCACTGATTTTAGGTCTTTTCTATTGACTTCAATGAGCGGAGGATCGGGTTTTTGATTTGGTAAGCAATCCGATGGGGTCTTATTTCAAAAATATTTTTTCTAGGAGATATGGTCAAGCTCTAAATTTGTTGTTAACTAGAAATTTGTGTAGAAAAATGCATTTTCTGACCAACTTTAAAAACATTGAAAAAAGAAAGGAAAAGGAATAATGAAAAGAGTTTCAGGGGAAAATAGGTAAATACTGCAAATGATACACGTGGAAGACCCAGAAGTGCATCACAATAAAATAGCTTTTTTGTGTTTGGTCAAATGGGAGGGTTGCAATACCTTAGTGATGTTTGAGTGCCTTTCCGTGAAATAACATGTTATGCTCTGATTTATTCAGATGTTTATTTATTCATAGATATTTGTATCTTTATTTAAACTGAATTGTGCAGGCCCGTGCCGCACAGAGCGCTAAGGGAAATCCCTATTTCTTCTGACTGTATCTTTGTAGCCCTGTAGCCGTTAAATATGTAGGAGATTGTCAAGGCTGCTTGTTGTCCATGGGCCAGGAGAAGGGAACCTGCGGAGCTGGTGGTTCGAATGGGACCGTTTCTCACCAGCACATCCCCTTGGGGCCTGGGGTATTTACTGGAGCAGAAAGACCGAGCTGTCCATTCATTAATTTGGCAAGAATGGCCGGAATTAAAAATCGTGCTCGCCTGTCATGGCTTCGTGTTTCTCAACAAAAGCTGCCTTCATTCTTCCTCGGGCAGCGCAGCTGAGAGGCCAAGCCAGTCCGAATAGCTCACTGGTGTGTGAGAAAAGTTTGTCATCTTTAGATCACCCCGCAGTCCGGAGTGGAACAGGGAAACCCTTCTTCACAGCAAGCCCAGGCAGGCCCGATGGCTGGCACTTAGAACTAGCTCCGAAGAGCAATACTGGGTTTATATGGAGATATATATCTGGTATATTTAATCCCAGTGTCCGTGCTATCCAAATAACCCCGTCCCAAACCTTCCTTCCTAGAGTAGCCCTGAGAATCCAACCGCTATCATTTAGCTCGTCTGTGGGTCTCCACCCCTTGTGTGTACGAGCAAGGTCTGCCCCTAGGGTTACGGTGGACTGTGAAAGTCCGAGCAGCTGGGAAGTCGGAGGCTTTCCATACCTACTTTCAAGCACACGCACGCGGTATCGTTACCTGTTGAGTGTAAAAATGCATAATTAATATCCGCTCTCTGGCAGCTACAGGGCTTGTCGGTGCAGGTACAGGCCGGTGCCTTCTCCGCGGAGTCCAGATCCTCCTTCGCCCCGGTTTCCGTGGGCTTTTCTCCATCCCCATACAGCAAAGCTAACGATGACACAAAAGACGCAGCCTAAATACATCGTCCGTGAAAACCCAGAGCCTGGACTGCAGCCCCCGCCGCGGTCCGCTCACCCTCTCGGCCAGCACAAAGGAACCTGAGAATCCCGCAGAGGCCCTCAGGGGGCTGCGAGTTCTTTTTTGCTTCTTGACCATTTCCCTGCAATTTCCTACCACTGGTTTCCCCCGCTTACCGCAGAGTTTGGTTCCAATTCCTCCTGTAAACTTCTGGGCAGCCTGACACCACGCTTTTGCTGGAAGAGAAAAAGGGCTGTGTGTATTATCTGGGGTGTTTCTTTAGGATCATCTCGGAAACGGCGTGGCTCAAGTGCCCTGGTGGCTCCAGGCTGGATGCCTGGGTGGGAACTGTCCCTCCTGTCTAACTTTCAGAACTCGAAGAGCAAACACTTTCCGGGTGACACAGAATATGACTTTCTTAATATCCCCCAAGACAGCACAACCCTTCCCCTCCCTCTCCCCTTCCTCTCTCGCCCCAAAGAGATCCCCCCGCCCAGCCAGGTAGAAGGCCCCCTGGAGTAGACTCAGGTTTATGTCGGCGTCGCTCCTTCCTGCCCTGGAGAATCCTGCGGCACCTTGGTCCAGTTCTAGCTGCAGCGAAGGCTTTACAATAAAGCTGCCCTGCAACGCAGCTCTGGGTCCCGAGTCCCTTGCGAAGTCCGAGGGCAGCTGGGATGGCTGCGTTTCCCTTTGCCAGCGCTGCCCTGGGTGGTATTTGGAGTACCCCATGGTGGTTATTTGTTGCCTCATCCGCATCCACTTGCGCGCTCTGTTGCTGGTCAGGACGGACCGGGACGAACCGGCCCAGCTGGTCTCCAGCCCGCTTGGCTGCAGGCAGGGAATGGGACGCGGGGCGCAGGTAGCGCTGGCCCATCCCGGGAAGCGGCTGGGAACTTGCCTGCGGCCGGTGGCGGAACTCATCCCCCGCCAGGGCTGCTCCGCGCTCCTACCTGTGCCGGGGTTCTCCGCCTCCCCCGATCGCTCCTCGGAGCCGAAGGACCAAAAGCCGGCGCCTGGCGTTGCCATCTGCGGAGCTGCCAGCCGTGCCTCGGAGCCGGCGAGCTGCAGCGAGCTGTGTGGGAGGGAGAGTCCCGGCGCGGGAGTGCCCCCGCGTGCAAGCGCCAGGCAGCGTGCGCCGGCGCCGAGAGCGGCAGCGGCGGCCTGGCGCTCCCCGGGGGCTCCGGGGAGAGGGAGGCCGGCAGCAGCGGGGCCGGGGGCCGGGGCGACGGGGCTGGCGGCGGGAAGTGGGAGAGGGCGTGGGGCAGGGACGCTAGGCGCTCTCCATGGTGCCGACCCGCTCCCTCGTCAACCCCGCGCGTCTCTCGGCCCGACGGGGGGTCAGCGCGGCTCTCCTTTTATCCGGCTGGAGCCCTCAGCCCGGGCACCCTGGGGCGGGGGGAGGGCGGGGTGCGCGAGTCACGACTCCCCCCGAGCTGGCGGCCGCTGCTGCCTGACAGCGGCTTTCGGCCACGCGCTGGCTCTGGGCAGAGATCGGGACCGGCCCAGGGCCAGGCTGGGGTTGATGGGGCCCCTTCGCACGGCCGGACTTGCTGCGGGAGCCGAGCAGGGCGCCCCCCACGCGGGCCGTGTCCAGAGAGCTTCGGAGGGGAATGGGGAGACAGACCCGGCAACCCGAGGGAGGCACCTGGAGGCTGGAGGCTGGCACAGGGGCAGGCTGAGGAACTGACTGGGGGAGTCTCCGGGCTGGCGATCCCACGCGTGTCTGGCGCCCCGGGGGTGGGGGGGGCGCCTTGCCTTGAGGGATCACAGTTCATTCAAGGCCGGACGGCAGGTGACCGAGCGAGCTGAGGTTTCTGCGTCCGTGGGCACGGGCAGAGAGGGGCGGGGGCCTGACCTCACAGCCCGGCCTCCACCGCCAGCGAGGGGCTGGTGGGGGATGTGCCTAAAACCAGAGAGACCCAGCCTCGGGCTATGTCTATGCCGCCCTGATTCTGTTTAGTCCCTTACGTGGGGCCCAGCCCCAGGCCCCCGGTGTCACGGAAACGCAGCTGGAAATGCCCGGCCCTTTGTGTGCGGCTCCAGAGAGCGGCTACACCGTGCGCCTTTTCTGAGCCTGCAAGACAGCGAGGCGGCAGCCGGAGACAAGGGCTGCAGGATCGCTAATCAGCGGCTCTCTTAGCCCAGCAATGGCATCGGTTTGCAGACCGATGTGTCTGTTCGTCTCCCTGTGGTCGCATCAGCTGGGTAGCCGCCCGCGAAGTCAATGATCCGGAAGGTGGATCGGGCTCGCTCCAAGGTCCTCACACCCCGTCTGTCTCCTCGGCTCCACGCAGAGGCTGCCGGGGTAAGTCAGTTCAGGCTCAGCGCACACCCCATGCTCTGGAGCCGGCCAGGGCAAAGGCCCAGCCAGGCGCCCGGCGGAGCACGAGGGGCGAGGCGGGAGCCGAGTTACAGGCGTGCAGCTTCTCCGGCCCGGGCCCTGCAGGCAGCCCGGTTGTGCACCCCCCCCCCCAGCCCTCCGCCGGCCTGCGGGCGGGCGCCGAGACTGGAGCAGCCCAAGGCAAGGGAGTGGCTGCCTGTCAGCGCCCAGCGAGGCGTGGGGCAAGGGAGGAGGGGGGTCCACGCTTCCCCGAACTGCTGCACGGGGGGAATGAAGCCGGGCGTTCACTGTGGGACCTGGCTGCAAGGGCCTTTGGCTCAAGCTCCCCCTGTCCAAAAGCCACAAGCAAACCCGCCTTCGCTGGCGGCCTGCGGCTCACCCTGCACCTGCGGGGCAAGAGGGAGCGCAAGCAAGGGTGCGTAGCCTTCATCTACCCCGGCCAGGCGCTGCCCGCCTCGGGAAACCCTGAGTATCACCCTCCCTCACCCCGCAGGGCCACCCCACCCCGCCGCGAGGAAGGAGCAATCGCGGGTGCTGCTGAAATCGTTCCAACCACGCTAGCGTTGGACCACCTGGCGGTGGTGCTGACCGGGCAGTTAAAAGTCCGGTCAGTGGGGCAGCGGGGCTAAGAAGGCTTGGTGACAGCCGTGGCACTGTGGGGTACCCAGAAGCAGCTTCATGTTCCCCCTCTGGTTCCTACACCTAGGGGCAGCCAGGGGTCTCCAAACACTTCCCCTGCTCCAAGGGCCAGCTCCACAGCGCCCATTGGCCAGGAACTGTGGCCAATGGGAGCTGTGGGGGCGGCGCCTGCGGATGGGGCAGTGCGCAGAGTCTCCTGGTCGAGCCTCTGCTTCGGAGTCAGAACATGCTGCTGCTTCCAGGAGCTACCTGAGGTAAGCGCCACTTGGAGCCTGCACCCCTGACCCTCCTCCTGTGCCCCAGTCCCAGTCTTGATACCCCATCTGAACCCCTTGGTCCCAGCCCCTCATTCCCCAACCCTCATCCCCCAGAGCCCTCACCCCCTCCCACATCCGAACCTGCTGCCGGATCCCCCTCCTGCACCCTATACTCCTCATTTCTGGCCCCATCTCAGAGGCAGCACCCCCAATTGGAGCCCTCACCCCCTCCTGTACCCCAACCCCCTGAGCCAGCCCAGTGAAAATGAGCAAGTGAGTGAGGGTGGGGAGCCTGAGCAACAGAGGAATGGAGTGAATGGGGTGGGGCCTCAGAGGAGGGGCGGGGCCTCAGAGGAGGGGCAGGGTGGGGGGCAGGGCAAGGATGTTTGGTTTTATGTGACTAGAAAGTTGGCAACCTTATGCTAGGAGCCAGCGTGTTCCTGCACTGAGTGGTTATAGATGGGCTTTAACAGACCATGCCAAGGACCCAGCACAATAAAATCTCCGTCCCGCACAACCCAACACTGTCACTCTGCGCGGTTATCATAACTTTGCGCCTTAGTGTTGCCAGCCCAGGATAAGGACCGGGCCAAACAGGTACCTGTGAGACAGCACAGAGCTCACAGCCTATGAATGATCTGTCTTGTGGCAGCTTTTCGGGCATCTCCTTCTTTCCCCATCTCTTTCTAGGTACAGGCACTTGGGTAGTAAAAGTCCATCTTTAGGAGCGTCCTATGGAAAGCCTCTGTCACAGGCCTTCTCTTCCCTGCCCCTCTTGTCACACTAGCACCTCTCATGGCATCGTGTGAAACTGACAACCACCAGCGTGTTCTCTAGGTGGGCAATCAACACAGACAGGCACCCTGGTTGTTTCCTGAAGTGTTCTCTGGAATCTACTTGGGAACAGGCTGACCTGTTGTGCAGGCCTGGCCTTTTAATCCTGCCAGCATGATAGATAGTTTAAGCAACCCCCCTGTATGTAGGAGACTATGGACAGGGGAGAGGCCGGGCTTGCCTCTTGCTTGGTAGGGCAAAACTGCATTTAGTCTAATCAGCCCAACATCATGATTTTTCCATCCAGAGAGCAAATCTTAGAGAGAACTGGAGGGCGAGCAGGACGGAGACAGTGCCAGGGCTAGAGGCTAAGGCTGCCCCTTTGTTGATAGGCCTCACTCACCTAATACTCAGTCCAGTGGAGGGTCTTACTGCACCTTGATTTGTACCCACTCCCCTTTTGGTAGACCCCGGTGTTAATCCATGCAGCAGTGTTAACGAATAACATTCTAGGCGTTGGTCTCACTGAAATGCCTTCATCAGTTTAGAGAATAGCCTGACAGGAAAACAAAGAATATCAGCCCTGTGGTTTCTTTCTGTGAAACAATACGTCTGCTTTGATCCCTCCCAATTTTCAGCTGATGCCCGCATGTAAGGAAATGTGGAGGAAATACCAAGCTGAGTTTCAATGTAACGTGACTGCTCGGCTCTTCTCTCCTCCTGTCTCAATCCACCCCTGCACACACCCCCGTGATTGCACCTGTGCTAGAAGTAATTCAAATGCAGTCAAGCCTGTCCCTGACTTTTGTATTGTTGTTTATTTACTTTGCTATTTTAATAATGGAGAGAACAATTTTAAGAGGACTTTAAAAATCAAACCCAATGTTTTCTAGCACATTGTACACTGCAGCAATTTAAACATGGCTTTTAATCTTTTAACTACCATAAAAATACAAAGCACCAATTACATGTCTATGGAAAGAGGGCTAAATTAAAGTGCCAGAAGTGTCTAAAGATAGTTTGTGCAGAGCTCTACCCTGCTGGTTTTACTCCCACCCGTAATAACTGCAAAGGGACACCTGGCCTGAGCAAGGGACCAGGATTCAGCTCTTACACTGCTCAGAATATTGGCCTGGTAAAATCTGCCATTCTCAGAACATGCAACTGTCAATCACAAATGTGAATGTTCCAGTTATCTACATCCTTTCTCTAAAATAATTTATTTAAAAATAGGAATTTGGGTGAAATTTTGAACTAAATGGCTATTTCTTTTGTACTCAGTACACTTCTGATGGAATTGATTTGCATTTTAGGCAGCAATAGACCAATCCACATTTTCCTAGCCATTTCTCAGTCTCTCTGAGATTAAGAGTCCTAAAAATCCAATGCAAATTTAAAAAGGAGAACAAAGCAAACAAGATTTCAGAGTTCAACATTTAGCCACAAAGCTCACAGGTAGAAGAGACAGTTGTGGTTATATTTCCCTGTATATAAACATTTCAAAGAATATACATCCTATATTGACCTTTAAACACTGTCCCTCAGTAGCTTTACTGTAGTTAAAGTCAATAAGAAAATAAATCGGTTTATAAAATACTACCAAACAACAATTTACATTTGTTTGTATTAAAGGGACACTTTTGACATGCAGATTTGGCCCCAAATGTAGGTATTGTAGATCTAAAACCAAAAGAAGTTCTTCTTTGGAATTCTTAAAAAAATCCAGTGAAGTAATTTATTTAAAAAAAAGTTTTGTGTTAGTATTGTGCCAGTGCATGGGAACCTGAAAACTCAATTGACTAGGAAATGATTATAAACAAAACAGAAACTGACTAGTCTATTTTGTATAAGATGAGAGAAATTTAAAAAGGAAAACAATACACAGTAAGTACATTTGTTTTCAAAAATTATTTCAATTTTAGTAATCTAAAGTATATTAATAAGTAACCTCAGCAAGATTCTTTTTAAATATACAATTTTTAACTTGACAGTGTCCCTTTAAAACAGTGTTGGGCTGTAAACTACAATAATTCATAGTCACTGTAAACCTGAAATATTAGAGATAACAATACAAAAAAAGAAGCATACGGTACAAAATCATAAAAAAAGATTATGCTAATAAAATCCAAATGGCAGCAGCAGCTACAACTGCTGGATAAGGCGCCGGCGTTGAGAGGTTTTCCGTAGCAGTTTTCTGTAGTCATAGGGATTATCTTCAGTTTTGCTCTCGTCCAGGGGGCTCTCTGCAACCCTTGACCTAGGGATTAAATGCAGAAGTGCTTTAGAAATTAAAGTCAAAACATTTACTTCAGCAAACACTGCTAATCAACTGCTTAACCTTCAACCTCAGAAAAAACAGCTGCCTTTTCTAGGTCTCTTCCTACTCTGCGGAATAGATCTGGCACCCCAGAGCAAATACATGTTAGCAGAACAGAGGAATGCTCAAAGAAAACCTGTTTTTTCAAAAAAGGGAGGAATTATTAAGGACACAGCAAAAAATGTCAGGACAACAGGCAAGGCTTTGGGGGTAATTCCTGCCCGTTAGACATTGCATCAGATTGTCAGCTGGTGTAAATCAGGTAGCTCCATTGACATAAATGGAGATACTCCTGTTTTATACCTGCTGAGGATCTGTTCCACTGTTTCAGACTGGACACTGCAAAGGTCACAGTATAGAACCCAGCTTACGGTTTTCAAGTGGCAAGGTTAATTTTTGAAAGCTGGTCTTCCATTTAGACAGCAGACCTAGCTAACTGGACCAAGGTCATTCCTATGTAATGCAATTAACCATAAAACCATTGTTTGGAAAGTATACATTATTTTGAAATAACTATTGACGTGTTTGATGAGCTACACTTAGGGGTGCAGTGTAGAGTTCCAAAAGCGTTCACTTTCTCTAGGACTCAGTCATACTCGCCTTACTCACACAAGAAGCCTGACTGAAGTGGCCACTGAATGTTGAACTGTAGTTGATACTTAAGTAATAAACCATGAACGGGGGTAAATTCTGCTCTCAGTTACACACAGTAGATCTGGAGTTACTCCAGTTACTCCAAGACAGTTACCGCAGATTAACATCAGAGCAGAGCATCCTAATAAGGCATGCATTCTTACCCCTTGCACCGGTTTCCACTGTGTTCAGTGGCAAAAATCTCATTGATTTAAGTGAGAGCACAATCAGGCTCCTAGCCTACTGGTGCATATCACAAAAGCATTTTGAGTGAAGAGGCAAAAGGTCACATGCAATTAATGACCTGAAAAATCTGTGTAGGTAGAAGGCTGATGAACCAGGTT